TACCGGGCGGCGCTTGAAGAACGACTCGAGGAGGGTGGTCTTGCCGAGGCCGGCCTCGCCCACCACCATCAGGTTGAACGACTCCCGCCCCGGCTCGCGCGACGTCCTGACGCCGCACGGGACGCGGCGCGGACAGCGTTGTCAATCCGACCGCCGCAAACCCCCCTCCCTCCTCAGGCATGCGTGCGGTACGGCGAGGGGGCGGTGTGGAGGGCTCGCGGCGGCGCGCGAGCCCTCACGCGGAGTGAACGGCCGGCGCGGCGCGCCCCGCAAAGCAAAGCAAACTGGCGGCAGGTGGGCGGCAGGTGGGAGGCGCACCTCGGCTCGACGCAGCGGCCATGGTAGGGGTCGCGCTGCGGGGTGGGGAGGGAGGCGATCCCGACTGCGCCGTTCGCCGACGCCTTGAGCGACCGGTACTCGGCCCCGATCACGCCGTGCGGCACGAGGTTGTGCTGCTCGGTGACAAAGCCAGAGCGCCCGCTCGAGTCCTCATCGTCCACGACGAGGGTGGAGGAGCCCATGCCGCTCTGGTCCCACTCGGTGGGCTCGAGGTCCCACCCGCCGTCCGGGCCGGCCTCGGACACGAAGGATGACGCGACCGACTGCATGTGGCTTGTGAGCGGGTGCTGGGTCTTGGCCGGCGAGCGAAGTTGGGACCGGCCGAACTGATGATGACAGTGTTTTTTTTTTGCCGTACTTTTTTCATGTCTCGAGGTTCTCGAGGTGGATATCCTTTGGCCGCGTTGGGTAGCGAGGATTGGTGTGACGCGATCCACGCAGGCGTGATTTCTGACGGCCGACCGTCAGTGCACGGAGTTGCCCCTTCTCCGACTGCCCCGGCTAGTTCCCGAGGTCGCGCGGGGCTGACCCTTGCGTCCCCCGGGACCTAGCGCGGGTGGGTTGGAGGGGGCTCGCTGCAAGGAAGGGCGGTGTAAGGAGCCGATCCCCGTAGTCCGCCCCACTCCTCCCCATCGGGCCGCCTAAGCGGCCACGCCTCGCAGATTCGTTTCTCGTGCCTGGGTCAGGCGCGCGGGGCATCCCCCGGGTCGCTCGACCAGCGATCCGAAGAGTGGCCGCTATGCGAAGGAAAGAGCGGGGCCCTCGGGGTACGCCTCGCCCGGCCCCCTCCGAGGGGGGGAGGGAATTGCGGGTCCCCACGGGCGCCTCTCTTCGGCCCTCCCGACGTCCCGAGGGGGGGGAGGGGAGCAAGGGGGTGGGGGGATCGGGGCGGGGGGGAGGGGTCTCGGTTTCGTGAGGCTAATACTTGCCTTTCGGGGAGGGGCCTCCGGCCGTGCTAGCGCAGTGGCGCCCGCTCGACATCTTCCCCTCCTCCCCTCGAGGCAGCGAGTAGGCAGCGAGTTGGGAGAATCGAGCGCCTATGTTTGTCGAGGTGGGGCGGAGGGGTGGGGCGACTGGTGGGAGGGCGGGCGGGCGGGCGGGCGGGCGGGCGGGCAAGCGGGGAGAGGCGGGCGGGCGGGGCGGGGCGGGCGGGCGGGGTGATCGGAGAAGTCGTATCCACAATCCGCAGCAGCGGAGCAGCCGCAGCAGCAGCAGCAGCTGCAGCAGCAAGCAGCAGCCTGCCGCAGATTGCTGCCGTTGTCAGCGACGCGATCCGCCGCCGCGCCGCCGCGTCGCCGCCGCCCGCGCCGCCTGCGCTCGCCGCCGCCTCGCAGACGCCACCTCTCTCGCGCTCGAAGAGCCGCGCAGCGGGCCGCGAGGTGGATGTCAAAGAGCCGCAAAGTGGCGAGGTCATGAAATCATCAAATTTTGAACTTGCCCGAGACAGCCCGGAAATCAACTTTTTATCTCGCGTTCTTCCCAAACCGAGTCCTCTCTACAGTTACATACTTACTTTTCATTTAAGATCCCCGAATTGCCACACTACTCTTCACACACAGTGCAGTGATGTGCAGCGCAGCAGATAGGCACACTAGACTGCCAAACACTCGTCCGGATCGTCGCGCCTTCTGGGGCCGGTTCTGCAGCCTGGGCGACGAGCGCGAGACACGGTGGGGCTAGAGGAGAGCGCCCCGACTCCGAATGCAAGCGCTAAATCAAGCGAAGTGTGTCTGCGCACGCGCACACGCACGCGCATTTGCGCTGCCTACTGGTGGCGCTGCAGTAAAGCCGTATCTCCGTCTGTCCTTTGTTTCCGACCCCGAGGCAGTAGACATCCTAGTAGACATAGTAGACATAGTAGACATAGTAGACATAGTAGACATAGTAGACATAGTAGACATAGTAGACATAGTAGACATAGTAGTGGACATCGACGTCAAAGGAGCAGATGCCGGCGCTAGTTGCACTCTGGGCAGCCCGCACAGTTGAGCTGCCATTTGCACTTCGTCGCCCACGAACTGTGCACAGGGGCCGGGAGGGGTGGGGGTGAGGAATGCTTGCGCATTTGGCCGGTGAGTGGGGGGTACACATGCGAGGTGAGTGGGTGCGTAGGAGAGTGTGTGGGAGACAGAGAAGGGCTGCACGCACTTTCCATTGTTCGCGCACCAAGGTTTGCAATTGGGCGGCGGCGGCGTCACAGCGTCGCACTCTGGGCAGCCCGCACAGTTGAGCTGCCAGTTGCACTTCGTCTCCCACGAACTGCAGAGTGAGGGCCGGGAGGGGTGGAGGGTGAGGGGTGCTTTCCCTGCGCATTTGGCCGGGGTGCAGCCGTCGGTGAGGTGGAGGTACACACATGTGCATGTGCATGTGCATGCACATGGCGTGCACATGCACATGCAACATGCACAGGTATAGGTGCAGGTGCATGTGAGGTGCGTAGGAAGGAGAGTGGGGGTTAGAGGAGGGCTGCACGCACTTTGGATTCTTTGCGCACCAAGGCTTGCACGGGGATGGCGAGGCGGACGGAGGCGGCGGCGAAGGCGACGGAGGCGGCGGCGGCGGCGGCGGCGAAGACGAGGGCGAAGGCTCCGGCGAGGGTGAGGGCTCAGGCGACGGCTCTGGCTCAGGCGAGGCCGACGGAGGAGGCGGCACGGGCCGGGCGGACGGCGACGGCGAGGCCGACGGAGGAGGCGGCACGGGCCTGGCGGACGGCGACGGCGAGGCCGACGGAGGAGGCGGCACGGGCCTGGCGGACGGCGACGGCGAGGCCGACGGAGGAGGCGGCACGGGCCTGGCGGACGGCGACGGCGAGGCCGACGGAGGAGGCGGCACGGGCCTGGCGGACGGCGACGGCGAGGCCGACGGAGGAGGCGGCACGGGCCTGGCGGACGGCGACGGCGAGGCCGACGGAGGAGGCGGCACGGGCCGGGCGGACGGCGACGGCGACGGCGAGGCAGATGAAGGCGGCGGAGGCACGGGCCCGGCAGATGGCGGCGAAACGGTGGAGTTGCCGGTGATGAGGTACACGTCGTAGGCCCCTGCAAGCGGTCAGGGCGGGTGAGTTGAGACGGGGTTCTTGGGGTAGGCGGTCTGATTGAGGGCAGGACTTGTGGCACCGCAGTTGTCGAGGGAATTGTCTCGGAAGTGTCTAGGAAGTGTCTCGGAAGCACCGCAGTTGTCGAGGGAATTGTCTAGGAATTGTCTAGGAAGTGTCTCGGAAGCACCGCAGTTGTCGAGGGAATTGTCGGTGCCGCACACTCCACGGTCGCCCTCACAAACGTCGCCTGCATGGGGGCACAGCGGCGCCAGAGTGAGCGCGCTCGACGGGGGAGGGACGAGCAGGCGAGGAAGCGGGGGGGGCGGGCGCCGTAGGTGAGCTCGCACGAGTCGCAGTTCGGGAGGAAATTCATCCCGTTAGGAGGGCACTCGGACGGCGCAACCGCGATCAGCGTGCGATACTCCGGCACGCTGCACGAGGTTGTGCACGTGAGTGGTGGGCCCGGGCCGGGCGGCGGCGGCGAGGGGCTGGGCGGAGGCGGCGGAGGCGGCGACGCTGCTGGCGGCGACGGCGGAGGCGGCGACGCCGCGGGCGGCGACGGCGGTGAGCCCGGCGACGGCGGAGGCGACGGCGGACTGGGCGGGCCGGTGGTCAGGCACGAGGCGACGTCGGCCGCATCAAACTTGTTGTAGAGCAGCTTGTTGGCGGTGTCCGCCGGCAGAGGCTGGGTGACTGCATCCTTGGTGGACATGCAGAGCATCGCGTCCGTCACCTCCTCGGGGGTGAGCGCCGGGTCGAGTGACCGAATCTGCGCCGCCACGCCAGCAGCGTGCGGCGTCGCCATGGACGTGCCTGCGTCGTGGCCAAAGGGATGGACGGGGGCGGGAGGCTGGGGTCGGGGGCAAGGGTGTAGCGCACCCGAGATTGTCCTCGTGGCGTCGTCGGCGCCGGACCAAGCCGCCTTGATATCGCGCCCCGGCGCAAAGATGTCCATGCAAGGCCCGTAGTTGGAGAAGGAGGAGCGACCATCGTCGATATCGGTCGAGCCGACGGTGATAGCCTCCAAGGTTGACGCGGGCGACTTCTGGCACGCGTCGCCGTTGTTGTTCCCTGCGGCGACAACCGTGAGGACTCCCGCCGCCATCGCCGCCTGGATGACGGCGTCGTACCGGTTCGCCCCGCCCCCGCCGAGGGACATCGAGAGGACCGCCGGGAGGTCGCGACTCTGCGCGTCGGCGACCGCCCACTCGATGCCCGCCATCACGCCGGCGTAGGAGCCGGAGCCGCCGCACGAGAGCACCTGGACGGTGATGATGGTGGCGCCCCTTGCAACGCCGTAGACGGTGCCGCCGGCGGTCGAGGCGCAGTGGGTGCCGTGGCCGTTGCAGCGAGAGGAGCTGGAGTCAATCACGCCCTGGTAGACGTAGCCGGACACGTCGTTGCCGCACGAGCTCTCGCTGCCCGTCGGGCAGCCAGCGGACCAGCCGGCCAAGGCGCGGCCGCCAAAGTCGACGTGGCCGATGCGGACGCCTGCCGCACGGCGGTACGAGGGGCGCGGTGCGAGGGGCGCGGTGCGAGGGGCGCGGTGCGAGGGGCGCGGTGCGAGGGGCGCGGTGCTAGGCGTGCCGGTGTCGAGGATGTAGACGAGGGAGCCAGAGCCGGTGACTCCGGAGTCGTCGTAGAAGCCGTCGGTCCCATCGCGGCTGTCGATGCGGTCGATGCCCCACGCTTGAGCTGGCACTGGCGCCCCCGAAAAATCGTCGAGCTGGATGATGCAGTTGGGCTCCAGCTCCACCTCGCTATCGAGGACAATGCTGTCGAGGATGGAATTGTTGACAGGAGCGATGGCGACCATTCGGGCCATTGGCAGGCGCTGGACGATGTTCGCTCCATACAGGTCGAGTTTCTTGACGAGCTTGGCGACGCAGGCCGCGCCCGAATCCTGCGGGGGGCGGTCGATCCTGAGTGCGGGATCGGTATATTTGATGGTAAGCGGGAAGTGTTGCGGGTTTGAGCAGGCGGCGATACCTGAGTCGTGAATCGCGCCGACTCGTGAACGAGGAGGCCGGCGGCTCCGTTCTTCCCGCACGAATCGACTGCTGCTTGGAGGCGTCGCTTGCGCTCAATGCCGAGGCGCGTCGGCGCGGCCGTCGCGGCCGCGAGGAGGAGCACGAGGGTGGTGGTGAACAGCAGCATACCACGTATGCCCGACTGGGAGTTCGCTTTAGGCGTTTTGCTGGCGGTGATGATATCACGTAGGGGAAAAACAAGCAGCAGTCGGAACAAGCCAGCAAAACGCGGAAAGCGAGCTCCCCCGTG